TGAAGATAACACATGTTGAGCTTAATTGCTTTTTAAGCATCTTATGATTTAACATTGCAATCAAAAAGTTATACTGTACAGAAATTCATGAACATAGCTGGACATGTAGTGATACATTTGTTATTTCTATTGGTCAGATTGGAAAACTTCATTTGCTTAACATTCTTGTCAATAAGTCATTTAGGAGTCTTCATTGTATGTTAATTGTACAGTTGTCTATTACTGTCTAATAAATTACTCTGAAATGTAATGGCTTAAAAGAATAAATATTTATTATTTTGCACAGTTCTAGAGGTTATGATTGGGCAGCAGTTTGGTTGGGTGCTTCTGGCTCTAGGTCTTTCATGAGATTTTAGTTAGGCTTTCAGCCAGGGCTGTCATCATCAGAAGGCTTGATTGAGGCGGGGGGATATACTCTCGCAATGGCTCACTCCCAGGACTGGATGCCTCAGATCCTCGCAATGTGGGCATCTCCACAGGGCTGACCAAACAAACGCCCTCGAACATGGCAGCTGGCTTCTCCTTCATCCAAGAAAGAGAAGGAATGACTGTGATAGAGACCACAGTGGCTTTTTATGACCTGGTTTCCAAAATCCTCCGTTACCACTTCTGCTTCATTCTATTCTCTAGAAGTGAGTCAATAAATTCAGCACACCCTCCCGGGAACTGGAAGTGAGTTTCACTTCTTGAAGAGAAGAATTTGTGGACATATTTTTTAATAACCACAATAACTTTCTGTTAATGCCTGATAAGATTGAGAAAATACTTGCAGAATGGGTATCGGTAGCTTGAAAGAAATATTGGAACATCTTCTTAAGAACTGAGGTACATATCAATACCACGAAAGGATGATATTTTGCAGCAAATACAAATATCAACTATTCAGATTTTCAAAATGATTTAGAAGAGTTGTAATCTGAATGTAGAGAATTTTTAGGACTATCTTACACAATTTGTTTTCTGTATAGTTTCCTTTTTGTCTGTGCATAAGAACAACAAATCAAAAAATCTATGTCTAAAGAAAGAAATGTTTCAATAAAAATAAAAATTCTACATGACAAGTAAACAGTGTGTTATATTCATAGTTTAATTAGGAGTACTTTTCTTTTTCAATGGTAAAACTGATGGCCTTTTAGCTCCAGTGGAATTTGGTATCTGTAGTAGATTACATCATTTGGCCCCAATTCTTCAAACCTCTCTGTATTCACACCCTTTGCTTTAACTTTAAAGTGCCTACCCCACATATGTGGGTGACCCTGCCCTGCTTCTTGGCTCTGAGTTTATAATCTGACTTGATTTGGTCAATAGGATGTCAGCAGACATGAGGCAAGCAAAGGCTTGAAAGAGTACATACATGTTTCTACTTGCATTCTTGAACCTCTGTCATTGCCATGAGAACATGCCAGGACTAGCTTGCTGGAGGTTGGGAAAAAAGTGAGCTAGAGCCAAATTATCCTAAAGGCACCATCTAAAGGTAGCCTTAAACAGCTGTCTGCCAACTCCCAAACAGGGGAGGGAATCCAGTTCAGAGTAGCAAAGCCACGTATCTGATCCACGCCTGCCCAAATGTGTGAACACTTGCTTATATTTATAGGCCACTGAGGCTTTGTGGTTGTGTTTTGGCAATAAATAACTAATATAGTTCACTTAAAACGGCATGTTTTTTCAACACTTAAGTGTGACATGTGCCTTTCCTGTGGTTAACTGGAATGATTATGTATGTAGATAAGCTTTTCCAATGAAGTTTCAAAGACCTTTGAAAATTTGCACTATTTCTTGATATTCATGTCATTCTTTCTTAGAAATAATGGAAACTGTAGATGGGATTGCTTGATAACAGTTTCCTCTTACCTCTTATCACTGGGATGGTCTGCATTTAAAATGTAGTAAAAGGAAGATGGCAATACCAGCAGACACCTGCTATCCCTTCCTCACTCCATGTGGCCCTGGTGGGAGTTTCTATTACAGTGTCTTTGCCACCTTCTCACTACCCAGGAGGGTGGACGGAAGACGCAGGATGGCTAAATAAAATACACCAAACTCCTAGAGATAATCTGAGTCTTCAGTGAGATTTGGTGTATGTGCTAAGTCTAAGAGAGACGCTCTATTACTTTTGGGCCACTGACCAGGTGAGTGTAGGCTTGGAACTGTCAGCAGCCCTGATTCCTGCCACAAGGAGATAGCCTGCCAGAGAGGCAGAATCCATGGATGGAGAGGCAGGTCCCTGAGAACATTACTTACACCCTTATATCTACTGCATCTTAGAGATCTCAGTATTTGAGCCAACAAACTATTTTTTCCCCCTTTACTTTATTTGAGTAGTCTGTAACTTGCAACTGAGAGAATTCTGAATCATTGAGGAGTGTTACCCCGTTTTACAGAAGAGAAAATTTAGCATAAAAAGTTGCATATCTTGTCTGGGATGTCACAGGTGATAACACATCACAGGTGATGTTAGAATATTATCACAGTTCTGTCCAATGCCCATGATTTTTTCATAATTGCATTTTTACAAAGTTCTTTCTAAATGCACATACTACAAATATTTTTGGTGCCCAAGCTTATGATTTGTCACAAATGCATAGATTTGAGTCACCACCACCAGTTCTATTGCCTCCAAGAGTTTTCTTATGCTGCTCCTGTGAGGTCAGACCCTCCACCTCCCCACCAACCCTTGACAATCACTGATCTGTTCTCTGTCCCTACAGTTCTGCCTTTTTCAGAATGTCACATAAATTAAATCACATGGACTTTTAAATCCAGCTTCTTTTCACTTAACATGATGCATTTGAGATTCATTCATATTGTTGCAATTATAGACATAAATGCTTTCTGAAAAGATGCTCAGAGCAGCATTTCAATCACATTGGCATTAGTGTGAGCAGTTCATACACAGGTTTTAAAAAGAGAATTATTCTGGGTTGAAACAAAATGTATGTCCACCCAGAATCTGTGGATGTGACCTTGTTTAGAAATAGGGCTTTTGCAGATATAATAAAATTAAGATGGGGTTATACTGGATTAGGGTGGTCCCTAATCCAATGACCCCTGTCCTTACCTTAAAAAAGGAGAAAAATTTGAACACAAAGACACACAGGGGAAATGCCATGTGACAGGAGGCAGAGACTGGAGTGTTGTAGCTGCAAAACCAAGCAATGCCACGCACTGCCTGCAACTGTGGGAAGAGAAACCAGGAGAGAGGCCTGGAGCAGATTCTCCCTCAGGGGTTCCAGAAGGCAGGCTGACACCTTGGCTTCAGACTTGTAGCTTCCAGAACTGTGAGGGAATAAACTTCTGTTGTTGTAAGCCCCTCAGTTTGTGGTAATTTTTACTGTAACCCTAGGAGACTAAGACAAGAAAAGATGAGAGTGTTCAGCTTTGCTTTCACGGCAGGATCCATGGAAACAAAATGAGCCCGAATGAGGAGACAGAAAGATGAAGACCAAGTTTCTTCACTTGGTTTTTGCCTTAGGATGAGCCTGACTGAATTCTACAGCCAAATTCCTTAATGGCATTGGAGAGACCTATGTTTATTACCCCAAGTATCAGATCTGTATCTAGGAACTCAAAAGTGAAAACTGTTTTTAAAATATGATGAATAATGTTGAAACCTAATGCTGGCCTCTTATAAACTAGTTTATAAGTCAACTCATTCAAAACCACTATGTTTCTATTCTGACAAAAACAAATGTTGGCATTTACGGCGAGGCATCATTCATAAACCTTTTTTATCAGCAACCTCCAGAAGATTATACTCTCAGGAAATTAAGTATTAAAATTTGATTAATTTTTCATGTATCATGAAGAAAAAAAAAGAAAGAAAAAAAGAAAAAGTAAGGAAAGTCCATGCTCCTTTAGAGAAGAAATCTTCTGAGGTGTGTTTTAGTCTGCTGCTTGGATTTTTACGTACAAACAAGTTAGGGGATATTTTTGTCAGACAAAATATGTATAAAATTTTGATATTAAGATATAGAACAAAAGATATGAACAGTCTTATGCAAACCATCATTTTAGGCAAGCCAAGATAATGGGTGTTTTTTTCTTAAGAGATATTTAAATTATATATACATAATGTTGAAATATATTATTCAGTTAAAACTATCACTTAATCTAGTTTGTAATTATAAAATTGTGATTCTTAAAACTGACTTCCTATCAGACACTTCTGAACACTCCCACCCCCCAAAATGATAGCTCACTCCCCAGATTCTGATTTGGTAAATCTGGACTGGGAGCCTGGGGAATCCATTTATTTTTTCAAATTCTACAGGTGATCCCTACGGGCAACCAGATTTGAGAATCCCTAATGCAGCACACGCTCTCACAGAAAGAAGCTGTCATTTCCCAAAGCCAGGAGAATCTGAGCTGGGATCCGTCGAAGGTCAAATACCAAATGCAAAGTATTAGAATGGAAGTAATCTAATGCTTGAGGTTGAGAAATGAAGGCAGGATCCACAAAGAAAAACCAGGATCCAGGGTGAAGCCAGCTTCATGGAACAGGAAGGGAGGTCAGGATGGCTATGTGAAATCACAATTGAAACACAGGAGAAAAAGGCAGGCAGAGAGCAGGAATCCCTGAGATTCAGAATGCTAGACCCAGCCTGTCTCAGGACTCAAAGGCTTTACCTGTAGCCAATTCCTGCCTGTAGATTCATGCTTTCATGCAAATTCCTCTATTGGACTCTCAGCTCATTCAGGGTTAAACAGTTTCTCATTTTCTCAGAATCTAGCGGCTTTAGTGTCTTCCTTTAGAATGAGTGATATAGTCACTGACATTTCCATGAGTCAAAGTTATCTACTAGGTGATCTTATTTCAATGTAATAATGCCTCTGTGTGTGTGTGTGTGTGTGTGTGTTTCTATGTGTATACTTTTTGTAGAACCCTTCAAGCATTTAACTGTTGCTTAACTGGTGATATTTATGCCATGCTATTCAACTTAATAATGAAAACCTTCTAAAAATAAATTTAAACTTTAGGTAAATTGAAAGGACAGTTGTTATTTCTTGGGTAACAGTAAGACATTTATTTCTTTATAATTTGTTTTCATTCATAAAAAGGACAAAGCACAGTCCTATACTACTCCATTGAAAAAATGATAAAAAAAACTAAAAAAATCAATTCAATATTTATCAGTATCAAATAAAACTACTATCACCTTTCCTGAAATACAAAGAAACAACAGATGTATCTATATCTATATAAAGTTTAATTAAGAATCTTGTGTCTTAAAGCAGAAGATACATTAGTTAGCTTGACAGCAATTTAAAACTGATGGTCCCAGTTAAATGTGTACAACTGTATGAGAAAATGAAAAGCTTGAGTTATCAGTGTATGACAGATTTTAATCTACTTCATCTCTGTCAGAAATTTAAAACTAAACAACCTCCAAAGTCTGCTTTCTTCTTACCTTTCAGAACCATCTCATGCAAAATCTAACCAGTTTTGCTTGCTATTACCATATATTAGAAAATAAAAGGCAAGCATGCATTTGGCAAAAGATTTAGTTGTTGATTATATAAAAATGCCCAACATGGGTCACATTGCAAAAGGAAAACCCCAAAGTGTAACAATGAAACACAAACATTTGTACAGAAGGCTTACAGAATATTGGTTTCCCCTAAAGTATGAAGACATTTTGTTTCTTTTTCAAATAATTAAATATTTTACGAAATCTGGCAACGATCTGAAGACTGTTGACATACTTCCACTGGGAAATCATCCATTTCACTTACTTTAAAAAGTTTCATTTTATAACAAAGAGTTAAATGTAAACTAATGAAATATTTATTGATATTTTCATAATGAAGGCTCTAAACATTTACACATAGATATATAGTACAAAAATTATACAAATTAAAGAAAAGGGGATAAAGTAGTAATAGTTCTATTTTGCTTCCTGTAAATATTTTTTTTTATGAACCTATAAGGTATCCTTTCTAAAAAGATAAACTCTATCTCTAATTAGCTCGCAAGGTTGTGCTAATAAAATAGGATTACACCTCTTGAATCATCTGACATTGCACTATTTCACAAGCCAGCTAATTCTTTATTACTTTCTTTTACATCCACACTCAAACACATTTCCGTGCACACCATGGAGAATGAAGAAATGTGCATCTTCCTTTTCACAACCTATAAAAACCCAAAGCACCAACACTTGGGAGACACCATTGGAAAGACACATTATCTGTCTCCTTCTGGCCTTCCAGTTTTGCATACTCTTCAAAGTACCATTAGCAATATATAGATTTGGTATTTTTAGCCAGTTTTCAGTATTGCGTTAACGTGGGAAATGAGCTTTAAAACAATTTAAAAACAACAAAAAAAGAAATTCTGTAGCTTTTCTGACCTACAGGTGATTTCTTGATCCCACATCTCCAAAAAAAAAGAAAGGTTATACTTAGGAATGAAGCACAAAATCGAGGATACTAGAATATTATCAGGTAATTCTAATATTCATTTAACTGTCCTTTATTCCTAGCTGTGTGAAGACTGACACATCTCAATTCATAAGGAAGCACTCTGTTTTTCAAAATTCATCATCCCACATATGAACAAACACAGTAATATAATGATACTCTAGATGAGTTATGATTTTTGAGGTTTGGAATTGAAGATAAGAAAAGCATAAAATAACTTCACAGTAGATTATAAAAGTAAAAAAAATTTTCACATGGCATGTTTGCTTTATTATTAAAAACTAACTGAAAAGTATTATTGATTTGGAAAATCAAATATTTAGAAAATTACTTACTTTTAAAATAAGAATACTGACAGTAAGTTCCAGAATTTAGTTTTTAAAATTCAAAATCTTTCAACTCATTCAGAAAAAATAATTTGGAAATGGGACTTATGTCAAAATGTTTCAGTTATACTCTACTTTTTTTCCCCAGGAAAACTCATATTGTCACGAATGATAGGGGCCACTCAAAAATATGCAGGACCCAAAACCGCGAGGATAGTACAAGAGACTGTATTACTCTTACATTTATCACATACGACCAACATTTCAACCTCTATTATATTTCACAACTCGTTATTAAATTTAAAGCACCTGTGTATGGTGATTTTATTTTCACTCTACAGCCTATAGTATTGAATTGAACACTGTAACTTGTCCCATTGGATTAAATCATGCAACTGTCACAGAATCAGGTTAAGTGGTTTATAAGGCATATTGGAACGAGTTAAAAATCATTTATATCCATTTAAAAGTTTATTCTTTTGGATGAAGGGGTTCCTGAATGCCTCAGTCATAATGTGTGTTGTAAATCAGTTGGATAGTTTGTTAAAGTATAATTTATTTGGCTTAGGGTGGAGCCACAGAAATTGGAAGGAATTGTAGTCATCCCAGGGATGAAGCATGTCCTCTGAGCTGGGATGGGAACAGCAGCTGTCGTATTACATTCAGAATTCCAAGTAGACGAGGATGCCAAGGACAGACAGAAGTAAGCCGAGAAGACTGGGAGATAGGGTGGATGCACCTACGAAGTAAACCAAAAGTGTGCATATTATTTCATTGATAACAGTCACTGCTGGTCATTCAGTCTGTCTTGGGGAAGACAAAACTGTGTAGCTTTCAAAAACAAATGGTTTCTTTTACAAAACGAGTTTTCTTACTCTTAAGTGATTTAAGAAAAGCAAAAGTGTTTGATCCAGGATTACAAGGGAGCTGTTTACACAACATGATTAATCATCTAAAATAATAAGATCACAAATGTTCATGTTGTCCCTATGATCCAGCCATTTCAAATTTCTATCATAAGGTCAAGCAAATATATACATGAACTTTTAAACAATAAGATAAAGAGATACAGTGAAAATATTGTTCGTGTTACCTGGAATAATGACATCATAGGTTTGCTAGATGGATTTTACATAATTTCATATCCCAATGGTTTTAAGTCATTTAGACATTTACATACAATAATTTAAAAATGTATTTTTCATAATATTAAATAATCCTCTTCAATTTTTTTCTAAAGAACAATTTCCCTGAGATATTATATTGTGAATTAAAAATTAAAACGATGTAATGTGCTTTGGACTACACTACATCTTGGGCGCCACCCAGAAGGGCTATTCTGTAGTTAAGTCCATCTATGGGTCCATGTCCTGCCCACACTAGAATTCTTGAGAAAGTGTTAGAAAGTGGAACCAAGAAGGCATATTCTTCCTTCCCGTTCTCCACACCTATTAGGCACTATTTTCAATGAACACACTGTTGGAATGAATGAAGGGCTAAAAGGTATAATTTTCAAATATAACAGATTTTTGTTAATTTTTGGGATTCTATTTTCTAAATTTGAAACCTTAAATCATTATTATCTACCATATTAAAAGTGACTTAAAACAGCCATTCCTTGAAATAGTCCACTTATATTCATAGAGATTTAGGGCATTTATCCTGAATCTTTGGTCATTAAAAGCATATTCATGTTCCCTGAGAATAACCATATCTATCTGCACACCTGTCTTCCCTTCCTTTGATGCTGCCTGGAAACATGAGAGGAAAAGCATTATCAGACACAGATAAAGTAGTTCTTAGAAATAAACAGAACAGTGATGGTCAAAATGTGGGGGCAAACAGCAATAGCAATATAAACAACCCTCAAGTAGCTGCTGATAGCCACATTAAGGCAGATCCATATAACAATGAAAACACTAATCATGACCATGACAGTTCTATAGCCACAAAACAGACTCCATGTTGGCCCTTTAAAAAATATATTATGACATAAATGCAATAATCTACAATGATAGGTATTATTATCCTGATTTTATAGATTTTGTAACTCTGAGTCAGGAAAAATGACTTGCTCAAGGCCAAAAACCAGTAGAGGACAGAGAAAGGATTAGATCTTAGATTTGTCTAGCTGCAAAGGCCATGCTCTTTCAACCTCTATGCCATGATCCAATTCTGTAGATAACTTTAGAAAGGGACCAGTTTTAGAAATGCATAAGGACACTGTGCCTTGCTCTTAATTTGTCAAGGCAAAGGCACAGAAGGAAAATAAATGCCGTAGGGGAAAACCCAGCTACCACCTGAGCTGGTATTTGTATTCTTTGAATACAAGAAGTCTTTGTATTCTTATAGATATTTTTTTTACCTTCTACTTTTCTACATGTTTTTAAAAATATGACACAGCTCACACATTATTTTATTCCCATAAGGTGGCCTAAAACAAACCTCAGTCACACAGCAAAACAGTTAGTTTTTACTGTTTGACCCAACTTAAATGATCTGTCCTGAAGACCTTTGTCTGAGGATACTGCAGGGTCTCTACAACGCTCTGTCTTTTGACCACAAATTACATCAGTGATGGGTACACGTTTATGTACTTGCCTGAATGTGTGGGTTGGCACAGTACAAACTGAGGTTGCAGGAAGAAGTTCAGTCAATTGTGGATGCCATTTTGAAGTTTTGGTGTTAGTATGAAAACCAAATACAATTTCATAATTTGTGGCTTTGGCATCAGGATATTTGATTTATTTAAAATAAACTCTTCATGTTTATGTGTGTTATATTTATTTCTCTAATGGCTCAAGCTTATGTAATTGTGGTCTTCATATTCAACTTTCTTCCACGTTCCAAGTAGAAATTAGAGACCTGATTGAAGTACTATTTAAAGACATTTTAAATGTGGTATCCATACATTCATGATGGATTTTTCAATATATATATTGGTTTTGTATCTAACAAAATATATATAATAATAATATTTTCAAGTATAATTCTAGTACTTATATAGTAAGTAGTAAACATATATTTTGCTTTTTACATATCTGATGAATGTTAAACATGAACAAACCATTGGTGTTGTGAATCATTTTCCCTAGCAGAAGAAATGTAAAACCAACTTAGAGTACTATGTCTCCTCCACTGGAATTTCTTGATGTTTTTACCTAAACTCCCAACTTCTTAGATAGTGGGACAAGATGGCTGCCTAGAGATAGGTCACTAGATTGTCTCAGAAAGAAGAAAAAGTTTTAGGTGAACAAATACATAGCTCAGATGTAATTCTGAGGGAAAACTGCCAGAACCTACCAGAGCTACCACAGGAAGAAGTTGCAGAACAGAACAAGAAGGAGCAAGATTTTGGCAGAGATCAACCTCTGAGAAACTTGGAGTCCTGTAGAAATGGTAGGTGGGGGTTTTGTTTCTCCTTCTCTCACACCTCTGGTAGTCAGCAGGATCCCAAGCTGCTGGAGAGCTTTTCTACACTCATGAGCCCCCAAGCTGCTGCTGCCACTAGGAAATGGGAGCTTCTTGAAAACAAAGCACCAGGCTGCCAGTCCCCTTGGGGTCACTTTCATCAGTCACCACAGACCCAGCAGAGACAGCAGGTGCCATATTGCTTCTCCACCCATTGTGTGCCTTTTTCCTCCCTAGGGAGCTTCAGCCCATTGGTTTTTGTGTCACTGGTTCCTACACAAACATTTCTCAAATCCTGCCCAGACTACAGTAGCCAAAGAGCAAAACTCACTACCCTTGATTGCCAGTCTGTGAATCCTAGATGGCCCCTCCCCCATGAGCAGACTTTCTGACGTGATGAGGCTGCGTCAGCTCCTCACTGGTGGCGTTCCTCAGTGGTCTGGGAGCTGACCCTTGACCTCTGTCAAGATAGCTCTTGTACCCACCTCTGAGGAGCCTGAAGGCAGGCTTACCTGACAGCCCAACCCTGCCCAGCTTCACTCCTCCACCTATATCTACTGTGGTGGAGAATAAGGAATCCTCTGGAAGCTCCAGGACCCCACCCACCACTTGGGGCATTCAAGTGCTTCTCCTGAGGGGCTAGAGTCTGTCGCTGATCCCAAAAAACAATACTGCATTTGGCTCTTTGGCAAGCAAGCTTCACCTACTGTCAGAGGACAACTTGTGCAGCCTATTACAGCATTTACTGACTCAAATCATACATGGTGTGGTTGACTCTGACCTACAGGCACCACCTACTGTCTTAGAGATTAAATTGAACATATCGAAACAATTCATGCTGCTAAGAAGACCACAGGAGCTCCCAAATCTAAGCAAAGAAATAAACAGTAGCATCTTAATAGTTGGGGACTTCAACATTCCAATGACAGTATTGGACAGATCATTAAAGCAGCAAATGAATAAAGAAACATTGGACTTAAACAGGACTCTAGAACCAATGTACCTAGCAGACATTTATAGAACATTTCATCAAAAAAGCTACTGAATATACATTTTTCTCATCAGCACATGGGACATTTTCCAGGATTGATCATATCTTAGGTCACAAAACAAGTCTCAGCAAATTCAAAAATATCAAAATCAAACCATGTATCTTCTCAGACCACAGTGGAATAAAACTGGAAATCAATTCCAAGAGAAACACTCAAATCTACACAAAGTCATGGAAATTAAACAACCTGATGCTGAATGATCCTTGGGTAAATGATGAAATCAAGATAGAAATCAAAATATTCTTTAAACTGAATGACGAAGTGAATAGAAGTTTTGAAAATCTATGGGATTCAGTAAAAGTAACTTTAAGGAGCAAGTTCATAGCCTCAAATACCTACATCGAAAACTCAGAAAGATCGCAAATTAACAACCTAATGTAACAACTTAGGGAACTAGAAACAGAAGAACAAACCTAACCCAAAGCCAGCAGAATAAAAGAAGGAACAAAGCATAGGGCAGAACTAAATGAAATAGAAACAAACAAACCAAAAAAGGCCCAGGTTCAATGGAACAAAAAGTTGATTCTTTTCGGAAAAGATAAGTAAAATTGATAAACCACTAGCCAGATTAACCAAAACAAAAGAGAAAGGATTCAAGTAACCTCAATCAGGAATGAAGAAGGAGATATTACAACTGATATAGCAGAAATACAAAACATTATCTGTGAACACTACAAAAACCTCTATATAAACAAACTGGAAAACCTAGAGGAAATGGATAAATTCTTGGAAACACATAATCTCCCAAGGGTGAATCACAAAGAAATAGAAACCCTGAACAGACCAATAATGAGCAATGAGATTGAATTTGCCCCTTAAGGCTGCTTTTAGTGAATCCCATAGATTTTTCAACAACAAAAAAAAGCCCCATACCAGATGGATTCACAACCAAATTCTACCAGACCTGCAAAGAAGAACTGGTACCTATCCTACGGAAACCATAACATTGAGAAGGAGGGAATCCTCCCTAACTCATTTTATGAGGCAAGTATTATCCTGATATCAAAACCAAGAAACGATACAACAACAACAAAAGAATACTACAGACCAATATCCCTTATGAACCTATATGCAAAAAATCCTCAATCCTATATGCAAGCAAACCAAATTCAACAGCACATCAAAAAGATAAACCACCACTTCTTGACTTTGATGAAATGAAATAATGGATATTTACCCTAATTGCTTTTAAGAGTTTCCAGAAAAGAAAACAAAAGAGAAATAGGAAAATAAGATAGATTTGATCTTTGAGGTATAGCAAAATTTTCTACATTTG